CACCACTTAGGAGAATTGGAAAAGCGACGGTTGGAACAGCCGCTTCCCTACGACTTTAATGGCTGCTTATTGGCTGCAAAGCTCCCCACTAAGCAGACCAAACCAGACAGGACGCAGTGTTAGAACCAGGGACACATGGAGCTCAGAGAACTTGGTTTTAATGGGTTCTGTAGAAACTGGACCTAAAGGCTCTGTACACATCAGGATGTTCTGATCAACATTTTCTGTTCTCAACAAGTGACTGCCCCACCCCCACCAACATACTTTGATGATGACCTCCTCCACCGTCACAAAGCCACTCAGTGGTTGGTTGGGACTGGTTTTGGTTTCCATGGAGACAGAGCAGGGTTTCAGCACCTATCATAAGGAGACAGAAGAGAATGGGTCGGCAGGAACGATGCGACCAGCCTTCGTTCAGCTCCACCGGATCAGAACTTACGGTGGTCACAGACTTGTCCTCCTTGTTCTGAATGAATGGGCAGGCCAGCACCTTCAGGTCCCGCAGGTTGGCCCTCATGTTCTGGGTGCCGTCCTCCTCGGCCACCAGGTTGAAGTCGCCCTGAAATGAGGCCACCAATGCCGGAGCGTCGGCCTTCATCAGGTTGGCCACAAACACCACCTCTGGGTCCACGATCACCGCCCGCAGACGGGTCCTCACAGCGGACGCTGCAGAAAGAGAACCACACAGAACATGAACCCAGAGCCTCTGCTGCTCCCAACAGGCCCAGTAAGGTCTGCTAGTGGTTGGACTGGTTTAAGATCAGATCAATAATTGAGTTTTTCTCTGTTCCATCATTCATTCAATCAGAGATATGAATCCATTTATATCTACAATACATGAATGGATCTGTAGTGATGGTGAGATTAGGTTCTGTTAAGCCGTTCTCACACCTTGGCTGATTTATCCAGCGTCTGCCTGACGTCCCAGAATCTCCTAAACTCTGCCATATGCTGAACTTTCTATGGAGTCTTTCTATTCTGAGCGTCTACATACAGTATTCATAACAAGTCCAGAACTTCTGTTCAATGACAGCCTAACTTCTGCATAATGCACGGCAAATGATGCACAGTGTCCTGAGGGGGGCAGCGATGCGCCCAGAGGCGCCCTAAAAAGATGTGTTGCATAGATGTTCCCAGCTGCTTCAGCACAGCTGATTTTAATTAATAGCTGATTAACAGTCTTTTGCTGAACTGTAATCATCCTAACCAGCTGTGCTAAAGCAGGGAGACATCTAAATCCTGGAAGATGGCGGCCCTAGAGGGCCGACTCTGGGAATGACTGGACAAAGTGAAGCTATTTCCGTGTCTTTCGCTCCTGGTCTTACCAGGCCTGCGTTCAGCTCGTGGTTCCGCTGTCTGTTTCAGAGGCAGCTTGTCGCTTGCTGCAGCAGGTGGGGCCGAAGCTGGACTCTGAGGCACAGCTTGAAGGAAGAAATCTGCTACTGCCATCAGGAACTCTGTGCTGGCACACAGATACAGCTTCTGCAGGATGGCCACCAAGTCTCTCTCTGCAGGAGCCTGTCGGAAGGTGACGTCGATCATGGCCTGCTGGCCGTCCTCCTTCTGCCCAACCATCCTGCAGGTAGAGGACAGACGAGCAGCGCTGAGAATGCTTTATGGTTTAGTGCAGCAACACATACTGAGGGTCAGAAAAAGTAGCGACTGGGTTGGAGCAGCTGGACGAAGGCCGGCGGCCATGTCCGTTCTCTGTGCTGCTTACCGTGAGGTCACCCGATCCACTCCGCTCCTCAGGTCGTCCAGCGTACAGGCAGTCAGGACGGTGTTCACCTCCATGGAGCCGTTGTTCAGGATCTTCCCTGAAGCCTTCATCAGACGCAGAGCCAACTCCCCCAGCCTGAGGTCCTGGTGGTGCTGAAGGTCTGCTGGCTGCTGAAAGGAGGAACCATAGTGAGTCTGGCTGGACTGGAACCGTTAGAGGCTCCTCCTCTGGTCCCGGCTGGTGATGACGGACCTGTTTTGGGTTGTTGTGGAACAGAACCAGCTCCAGAGACTCGATGTTGAAGTGAAATCTCAGCATCTCCACAGCTTCATCATCCCCATCTTCACCCAGACGCCCAGCTGGCCTCTCAGCCTCACCTGGAACAGAAGCAGAAGCGTCAGATATAAGCTGAGCCGCTCCAACCGGGCCGGTTTCCAGGGTTCCTCTGAGTCTGTCGGACCTGTCGGGGCTCCTTTGGGGGCCTGAACCCGCAGGCTGACCTCCTGCTGGGGGGCGGAGGGATCCAGGGTGTTGGCTTCTCCCAGGTTTTCCGTCACGATCCGCAGCATGACTCGCAGGTCGTCCTGACTGAGCTCCAGCTGAACACAGAGACCGGGTCAGAACCGAGTACAGAACCTGAATCTGAGCAGCCTTCTGACCTACAGAGCTAAAACAGAACAGCTAGGGGGTGTTTAGAAACTACAGGCCAACTGGGAGCAGTTTCACTCTACAGAGCAGGAAACGGTACCTGTAGATTTTCACCAGTGGACTGGATTTAGGGAGAGAAAGGTTACAGACATCAACAGACGGACCGAGGACTTTAGACTCAGCTTAACAACAACATTAATACTCATACAGGCAGTTTTATTTAAAAAAACAGAGACAGAAAGCTGCGCTTCACACATGCGTGAGTCCCGGTGTTCTCAATACCTGTTTATTCCTTTAGTTTATCCTTTTGGTGTTGTAGAAAAAAAACTTTAAACTACCTTGACGGGCTGGTTTCCCTTTAGTCATCTACAAAACAAAACTACTTAATGACTTGGTTTTTGGTGTTTTTGAAGCGTATCAATCTGACCTTAAATCGTTTTTTTGTACATGATTAAAGGGATTCACGCCCGTTGAGGTAGTCACGCCATTCAAACAAAACTAAAAGGATAAAGGCAAATCTGGCGTCTTGCGCGTGCATATTGACTATAGGAATGCTAATCTGACAGAACGTCGGCCTCATCTCTGCGCCCATGGCTTCTTTTTATAGGCCTGTAGGTTCTCTGCCAATCCGC